GGAGACGCGTGGCTCGAGGGGCGTTTCAAAATCTACTTATGACTCCTTAGAGTCAATATTCGTTACCCCGAAGGCAGCAGCCAGCTTTACAAGTCTCGTCTGAAGTTTGTTGAGCATTGCTAAACGTGCCTTAATGCATTCTTACTTGAAAAACACCGAAAGGAATCTGCATAGGTTGCGTCTGTCGCCGGAGTACCTTACATTCATGTTTTGCTTGTTAATAGAGGTCGTAATGTAACAGCAAGGTATTTTTCAAGTCGTAAAATATTTCAACACCATGTTGAATGAAAGATACAGTGACCCTCAACCTCTTCTTTGTTTGATTTTATTCTTACATTTCCAGAAAAAGTGAGGTTGACCAACGGAATTCTCCCTGATATTTTGAACATGGAGCCATGGCCTGAAGGGTTGTATAATGTGGTATTCACCAACTTAAAAAAGTTGCTCCGACACCTAAACATCCGGGCGACATGAATATGACCGAGATCATGTCCAGTATGACTACCTGTCTCTGTAGGTTGGCAGCAAGAAAAGAAGAATTAAGGTAAACGATCCTCACAGTCAGAGGTGGCATATGATACATTATAAACCGGCCACCCGCCCCCTTTTCTCATCAAGCTGCAATGGATGATTCGCGTTCTTCTTCTTCTTCTTCATCATCATCATCATCACCATCATCATCATCATCCTCCTCCTCCTTCTGCTCGCTTGACCTTCTCATTACACACGGACTATTTTCAGAACAACAAAAAAGTCCACTTAGACTAAAAAGAAATCACCACCACCAACAAAAAGAGAAAAAAATATGAGTACATACAATCCACAAAAATTCTTGGCCTTGAGCGAACCACAAACCATGACGCCCCTCCTCGAGCCCACTTTGGATGCGAACAAGACATCATCGCCGTCGCCATCGGCCTACGAATTACCTCTCGAAGTCCAAATAATCATCTCCGGCACCTTCATCTGGTGGCTTTCTGGCCTCTTTCTGACCATGAGCATTGGGGGCATTCGCCGCTACGTCATCCGCCTTCTCGACCGCCAGATCCGCATGGCGGGCGTTCGCCACCCTGTTGCCCAGGCGTCCATGCAGGTGTATGGTTTTGCCACCCTGGCTCTCGCGTGGCCGGTCCTGGTGTGTGCCCACGTCTGCACCGATGAGCTTCGTAATGGCGACGGGGACGACGAGGACGATGGCGAGGAATTGCAAGACTTTTCGTGTGGAATTCGGGTGGGCAGTCAACATGGAGAATCCGAATATGTCAAACACCAATGGTTGATCCGAGCTCATGGGCAAACAAAGGCCAAAAGCCCCTATGTGGTGTAGAATAGGCATCGGATACTCGAGATAATGCTGGCGACTTCTGAACGGTTCATTGTTTTTCTACTTCCTCCCCTCCTACTCTTTTTTTTTTCTTTTCCGTTTTTTTGAATAGTTCGGCACAAAGACTGTTATAAGCAGCGTCAATGGCTTATGCCGAGACAGAGACGGATTATTTTGGCGTTTCAGACAGTTAGCAAGGCGATCGATTATATGGCAAATGTCCCTTTTGTAATACTGGATAGACAGATTTTAGATGGAAGATTGTGTAGACTTGAAGAGAGTCAAAAATTATTAGCCAGGAAATGAAGCAAGCTGGATACTCGATCCATGATAGCAAATGGTATTGAGTTCTACATGTAACTCGATACTCAACGTCTGCGCTTCTTCTTGTCATAACTTGCTGAACCATCATCTCCATAGCTCCGCTTTTTCCGGTCAAGGAGCTGCTTCATGCCGGGTGTCGTGCTGAACTTGGGGTTCGATGGGTCAATGGCAAACTCGTGGCTCTCAAAGACTGCCTTGAAACGGTCGTCGCCAGTATCAACAGCAAAGTCCTCTTGAAGTCCTCCACGCTCACCCTTGGCCTGCAGCTTCTTCTTGGCCTTGCCCTTCTTCATCTTTTGTTTCTCGGCTCGTGAAATCTCAGCCATGTCGAAATGGCCCTTGTCACCAGCCTTTGCGCTGCCGCCCATAATCTTTTCCAGATGAGCCTTTTCTTCCGCGTTCTTCTTTGCATCGGCTTCCTTGAGCTCTCGCTTCTTGAGACGCTCCTCTTTTCTCTGTGATGTCTTGGAGACCTTGGCCGGCTCTTCGGTAGTGAAGAAGGGGTCATCGAAACCAAGATCCTCTTCTTCGTCGGCCCCTTGATCATCGGCCAGTTCCTCGACTTCAATAGCACCATCTCTCTTGGCCACGGCCTTTTCTCTCTTGCGCGCTTTCTTCTCCCGCTCCTTGCGCATGTACTTCTCAACCGTCGTTTCTTCTCTATCTGGCGAGCCCTCCTTCTTGGCGGCGCTATCATCGTTGAGAGTAAATGTCATTTCCATTTCACCCACTGGCTCTGACTTGGATGACTTGGCCGTGGTGTCGGGGCCCAGGCCCAAGGCCTCTCTCATTCGTTGCCGCGCAAGCTCCTTCTTGCTCAGCTTTGGTTCGCCCTCGGCTACAGCCTCAGGCTGCTCGTCTTCGTCGCCCTCTGAGTCACTTGAAGCGAGATAAGCCTTCATGTCGTTTTCCTCAAGCTCAGCTCTACTTCCAGAAAAGGCACGCTTCATGTTCTCCTTTCGCGCAGCCTCTTCGGGATGCATATCCCAGGTAAGCCTGCTTTTTGTCAGTTCTGAAGGATCGCCAGAGACAGAGAAAGGATATACGTACTTGACCTTGGAGTGCTGAAGAGCGTCCGTGACAAACTCTGTCGGTCTGTAGTCCGAAGGAACACTGTCACACTCATCTCGAGGTTCATCGTCGAATGTGACGTCGTCTGGAATGAATCGTAGATCCATGAAATTCGACGAGCTTTGGTATTCTGTACCATCGACAGCCTTGTAAATGTTCTCGGCAGTAGCCTCATCGGAGCAGACAACGACGGCGTAGTAATATCTCAATCGATCCAGCTGATATGTCCTGAGTGCGTCCGAGTCAAAGTCTTGATCGTCACCCTCCTGGATGAGGTCCTTCTTGATGTTCTCGTCGTCCTCCTCGTCCTCCTCGTCGTCTTCACTATCATCCTCTGAATCTTCCGAGCTCTCATCGCCATCATTGGCCTTCTTCTTGAAAATCTCCTTGGGGGGGCCTTCGAGCTCTTCGCGTTGCATCCGTTCCTTGCCGAACTCGCTAGGGTATATAGAAACCTTGTTGATGCGGCCGCCCTTTGGTACGAAACTTGCCATCAAAGCCATCAGGTCAGGCGACTTGATATAGTCCCAGTCGAGGTTAACAATGGCGAATCGCTTTGTCACCTCGCCGTCTTCAACGTCGGCCTGCTCGTCGCGCAGACGCTGCATGCTTCCAGACGTCTCTACCGCGGCATTGGCTTCCTCCTCGTCCTCTTCATCCTCGGATTCTGACTCAGAGTCGGACTCGGACGAGGAGAAGCCGCCCCCTCTGGCTGGATCATACTTGGTGTTCGCTTTTTGCAGCTCTCGTTGCACGTCTTCGTCATCGTCAGCGCTGTCGGCATCGTCCTCGCCCTCGCTCTCCTCCTCATAGAGATTCTTCAGTGCCTTGGCCTTGTTGTCCGACTTGAGTTTGCGACCATATCGGTCGACCTTGGCAGTCTTGGTAAAGTCCTCATCTTTCAAGACCCGGGAGAATCGCTTGTCGATCTTGGTCTTGGTGGCCTTCTTGGAGGGCAGTCGGAAACGCGGGTCGGACTGGAAATTTGCAAATCGCGAATCTCCGCTCGAGGCCGAAGCCTTTTGGCTATCCTTCTTGGCCATTGTGTTGTCGCTACAAAACGCAGATGCGCGGGCGGCGTCCTGTATTCTACCAATGGGCAGAATATCTTCTAGTATGCAGAGCAGAGAGAGGGTCGCGCAAAAATAAAATGGGTCTTTTGCTATCTAAATCTTATCGATAAGAGCTGGGCATTAGTGGAGACCTCAGTGACCCTGTTGGCGCTTGCATACAGGATGTACCGGACGGAAATATTTCACATGTGCACTAATGTACCATGTACCTATCACTGCAGGATCAATGCATGTGTATCTTGACCTCGATTCCATTTCCTGTTCGTCAATGATAATGAATACTACGTCCATTGGACTAGTCTGATGTGCAAAGCCCATCTTCATCTATACGAATCTTTTACGGTAAGTATTGACTTTACAGACTGGGGGGTTTGCCTTGGATAATTGTGGCGGTGAGCCTCTCGAGACATTCGATGGACCAGACACTGCCACTAGAAACCCCACGTTGGACCCTCCAAAACATGCGAATTGACCCCTCCAAACATAAGCTACCAGTACCAGGTACGCATAGCTGATGGGTAAAATGTGATGCACAATTACGTCGGTTCAATGAGTTTGAGACGAGTACATCAATGGAAAGTTGATGCTTGGGGGAAAGAAACGACAAGTTCTTTGATTGTTAAAGATGCTAGATATCATGGACACGGAATGATTGCATAGGGATTTCATTGAAAGTACGTCTGGAGCAATACAGCAACCGGTGTAGGTACCGAAGTGATAAACGGGCTGCCCAGGAAACACAGATTAGCCATTTGTACCATACAAGCCAGCAGCACTCGCCGCTCTTCTCTCATGCCACCGTGTTTTGTTGTTGTTGGGCTCCATCCTTGATGAGCTGTTTCGCATGACGAACCCTTCACTAATACGGCAGTAGCTCGTCAGGGTATTTCCTGGACGGGGCGCTCACATGAAAGATAATTGGCATCTCAGCCATCGAGAACAAGCCAATGGACCCATTTTGTGGCCTTCAGCCTCTCTGCGGTGCCGGTGATGCAATGCATGCCAAGAACTGAGGGCCCCCAGCTCGGTGCTTGTCGAATCTGCTGTTTGGCTGTCATTCGTCTCAAAGCTCACACTCTGACAATCTGCCTGCACGCTATTATAAGCCGATACCCGTCCCCTAGTAGCCTACCCTTGGTCCCTTGATTTTTGCTTGCTTCAATAGACAGACTGATCAGACACCTTGCGGGTTCCCACTGTCAATCAATACCCGTGAGCCCGTGAATCACGACCTCTGCTCATCGCCTACAAATAGAGTTGCGACCCCCCTCCGTGTTAACCCCGCGCCGGGCTTCCCGATCTTCAACCTACTGGCATAGAGTAGAGTTATATCGTTTCTGCTTCTTCTTCTTCTTCTTCACATAATACGTCTTTAGCAAAGATGGATTTCCTCCACAAGCTTGGACACGATGTCAAGGAGGCTCTTGGTGGTGGTTCGAGCGAGCCTGAGCGCCGTGATGACGAACAGCAACAAGAAGAGTTCCGGCCTCAGCAGCAGGAGGAACGTCCTCCCTCTCGGCCCCCATCCAGCCACAGCAACCACGACGACAAGCCTGCGGAGCCGCCCGTGAACACCAACCGATACCAGTCCTTTGCCGCCCCGTCTTCCGGCAATGTCAAGTGGCACGTGGACGGTGCCAGCTATTTCTGGGCCGTCTCAACCGCCCTGGAACGTAAGTCTGCATTGAGATTGACTCCTAGAAGTCATGCAAATGAGATGTTCTAATTATTCCTGCAGAGGCCAGAGAGAGCATCTATATTCTTGATTGGTGGTTGAGCCCAGAGCTCTACCTCCGCCGCCCTCCTGCCCGCAATGAGCAGTACCGTATCGATAACATGCTCAAGGCGGCCGCCGAGCGTGGTGTCCAAGTCAACATTATTGTCTACAAGGAGGTCACGCAGGCCCTGACTTGTGAGTTTCCCTTTTTGAACCAGTCGATGTTTCTTGACAAATTTGCTGACATTTCATTAGTGAACTCCAAGGTACACCCTCTGCTACTGTAAAATATAGCTCTTGGCTAACAATCAACTTCAGCACACAAAGTCGCACCTGGAAGAGTTGCACCCCAACATCAAGGTGTTCAGACACCCTGACCATGGCCTCGATATGGACGGTGCCAAGGCAGACCTGGAGGCTGTCTTCCAGAGCTTGTCAATGGGATCACTGAATGCCTTCAAACTTTCGCATGCGCCCCAGGATGCCGTCAAGTCCCTATATGGTTCTGCCGGCGAGGTAGTTCTTTACTGGGCCCACCACGAGAAACTCTGCGTCGTCGACCGCAAACTTGTTTTCATGGGAGGTCTTGACATGTGTATGTAATGATTGCTGCTTTAGGTGCCACGCTTTTCGCTGATGATGATTCCTCCAGGTTTCGGTCGGTGGGACACCAACAGTCACCCTATCGCGGACGCACACCCCGGCAACCTCGATGCCATTGTCTTCCCCGGACAAGACTACAACAACGCTCGCATTTTCGATTTTGAGGGCGTTGACAACTGGAACCACAACCAACGTAAGAAATTATGCAGCAACGATATTTCGGACCATTTCTGACTCAATTATTAGTTGATCGAACCAAGAGCTCACGAATGGGTTGGTCGGATATTTCCATCTCTCTCAATGGTCCCATTACAAACAGCTTGTTGGACCACTTTGTTGACAGATGGTAAGTCATACACATGCTTATGATAAAGTCGGCGCTAATTGACCATATGCAGGAACTTCATCTGGGAGCAGAAGTACAAGGACAAGGATCCCGGCAAGTACGAAAAGCTTGAATTCAACAGTGGTAGCACAAGGGCCTCGGCCAGTCTGAGCGGAGACTTTGAGGGTCGCCTCGCACCACGAGTCCAGAGACATGAACAGCAGGAGGGTGCCTCCATCCAGCTGTGCAGAAGGTGAGCTGAATTGAGTTTTATGTGTCATGAACCATGCTGACAGATAACCCAGTGCCTGCGACTGGTCCGCTGGCCATCCAACTGAGCACTCTATTCAAAATGCATACATCGATGCCATTGGCAACGCACAGCACTTTGTCTACATCGAGAACCAGGTAATTAGTCATTTATTCTAGAAACCCATGAAAGCCAACTAAACCGTGTATCATAGTTCTTCATTACAGCCACTTGCGATGAGCAAGATCCGGTCAAGAACAGGATTGGTGGCGCCATCGTGGATCGTATCCTGCGCGCACACAATGCCGGAGACAATTTCCGTGTCATCGTATTGATGCCTGCAGTTCCTGCATTTGCTGGAGATCTGCACTCGGACGGTGCTCTCGGCACTCGTGCCATTATGGAGTTCCAATACAACTCGATCAACCGTGGTGGCCACAGTATCATGGAAACGCTCCAACAGCGTGGTGTCGAGGACCCCAGACGCTACATTACTTTCTACAACCTCCGCAACTACGACCGTATCAACAACTCGGAGACGCTCGGTCGTGCCGAGGAGAGAAGTGGTGTTCCCTACGAGCAGGCTCGCCGCGACTACGACGACAAGGTCGGCGTCGGTAACTACCCGTACGGTGAGGAGAACGAGGACCGCGAGCGCTATGGCCGGGACGAGGGCGGTGAATCTCGCTTTGGCGGTGGCTACGGTAACTCCGAGTACGAAGATGGAGGTGAGGAGCGCAGAGAGCGCCGTGGCGACGACTATGAGCGCTATCAAGAGGCAGCCAGAGTCACCAGCGATGATACCAAGGACTCGGTTTGCGCAGCTTACATGGAGGGTGGCGCTTTGCAGATGGTTGGATGGGAGGGAGCCCCTGAGGCTGAGCTTGATGCCTTCGTTTCGGAAGAGCTTTACATCCACAGCAAGGTGCTTATTGCCGATGACAAGGTTGTCATCTGCGGCTCTGCAAACTTGAACGACCGCTCGCAACTGGGAACACACGACTCTGAGATTGCTGTCGTCATTGAGGACCCGGAGCCCATTGAGTCGACCATGAACGGCGAGCCTTTCACAGCTTCCAAGTTTGCAGCCTCGCTTCGTCGCCAGCTGTTCCGCAAGCACTTGGGTCTCCTCCCCCACCAGCCTGTCGACCGCCCCGACAACAACTGGGTCGCTATCGACCAGGAGCCTTTGGACTACGACTGGGGCTCAAGCGCTGATCAGTTGGTGGAAGACCCTATGAGCTCCGAGTTCTGGGATCTCTGGACCGGCACTGCCCGTACCAACACTGAAGTCTTCAACAAGGCGTTCCACCCCGTGCCCAGCGACTTGGTCCGCAGCTGGGACGACTACAAGGAGGTCTTTAGCAAGCACTTCCTCATCCCTGGTGTTGAGTACAAGGACGACGAAAAGGAGGGCAAGGTTGAGTACGGACACATTGTCCGCGAGGAGTTCCCTGGTGGCGTCCAGGAGGTCAAGGAGTGGCTGGGCAGAGTGAGGGGTACCCTCGTAGAGATGCCACTGGATTTCTTGATTGATGTCAAGGATATGGCCAAGGAAGGCATGAGCTTGAACTCCTTCACAGAAGATATTTACACTTAGAGGAAATCTACCATCTCGTTAGGATAGCAGAGAGTAGAGCAAACACTCGCATCGACATGTTTCGCTAGGTAAAGTGTTGCCCTCTTAGAAGATTGAGCACACGATAGGTACTTGCGCAGGTATATACTACAACAAATCAAGTAAACTTACAAAGTCTCGGCTCTTCGCAGAACGCCACCATAGTAATCTTACATTGAAAGTCCAAGAAAGAGCTGAACCGCAAAGCACTATATATATGCAATGCATGGTCCAATCTCCGGGGTTCACGGTTACTATAAAATACCAAATAACAAGACACACGTGCGCGCCGACGGTTTACGGGATTGGGCGAGGACCGAAGCTAGATACTCATTAGAGAAGTTTGAATGCTGGTTCGTCGAATCACTTTCCCTGGAAACCCAAGCCCGCTTGGCCCAGGGTGTCGGTTACTCGGACGTGATTGAGCTTCCTAACAGAGTTTCGCGTCGTGAGTCCCGCCGCCGCCGCCTCCTCCTCTCCGCCGTTCACAGTGGTGGTCGTCCCCCCCTGGTCAGTTTATACCCTTACCTGTTAGCCCGACTCGCTTGCCACTAATGCAAGACCGTACCTCGCAGCCCGCTGCAATCCCATGGGTTCGTTCCCTTTTGATCAAAGAGCAATTGACCTGTCAGAGCTCGAGGATAGTGAATGTGGTCCCTCATATGTTCTTTTTTGTTATGTTTTTGCCTCTCTCACCCCCAGGCCTGATCTGTTCGCTAAAGCAAACATGGACAGATAACTCGCATGCCAATTCCGCCCTGTCGGTCGGGACGTTGCATTTCTAGCTTGAATCTTTCTTGGGTCTTTTCGGTCTTGATGTCAGTGTCTAGCTAGAGCTGCCCGAAGGAGGGGCGCCTCCAGGGCTTTTCATTTTCGTGATAGTAGTTATAAAGGGCAGTTGGTTCCCCCGTACTTCTTGGGAAATTGATGTACGTGATTGCTCATGGTGGTTATCTTGCGCCTTTCTCTTTGAGGGTTTACCATATCTACTCACTGTCGTTCCGTCTCATCACCATTCACGGAAAAGAAGAACATTGAGTGTGTGTCCAAGAGAAGGATCTCCAGGAAACATCCCGTGTCAAAAGGAACACATTTTGACCCGCGTACAATACCATAATGTCGTCCTCTGCCAACCTCCTCGCCGTTCTGGGCGCCGTCGCTCTCTTGCCCGGCACCGTCCGCGCGGGCCTGTATCCGGGCCTATCCACGCAGAACCACACCTGCTCGCTGCAGAAGCCGGTGCTCTCGTGCTCCGCCGGTGCTGATCCGGCTGTTGTCGATACGTGCTGCGTCGAGACATATGGCGGCCTCATCTTGTCTACGCAATTCTGGGACACGTATACTGGCCGTGAGTCGGCGGGTCAGCTGCTGCCACGCGACACTTGGACCCGTAAGTAGTAGTATTACATGGAAAACTCGCAACGGGGAACGGCCAGAGATTTTGTCTTGCGCCCAATCTCATGCGCGAGCGGGGGGCAGATATGATGAATGAAATGAAATGCTAATAACCTTTATTCAAATTCATCCAGTTCACGGTCTCTGGCCCGACTTTTGCAACGGCTCGTATACACAGTACTGCGACCTGTCGCGGCAGTACGACCCCATCCCGTCGCCCAACACGACGACGGGCACGAGCGCGGGCACGCCGGTGCCCGCCTACACGGGGCCGAGCATCGCGACCTTTCTGGAGCCCTTTGGCAAGCTCGACCTGCTCGCCTACATGAACAAGTACTGGGTCGCGCAGAACCAGGACAATGGCGGCTTCTGGGGCCACGAGTTCAGCAAGCACGCCACCTGCTACTCGTCCTTTGACGTCGAGTGCTACGGCCCCCAGTACCGCGAGCACGAGGAGGTGGTGGATTTCTTTGAGACGGCTCTCGAGTTTTACGACGCCCTGCCGACTTGGCAGTGGTTGGCCGACGCGGGCATCAAGCCGTCCAACGGGACTGCTACCACCACCAGCAGCAGCTGCAGTACCAACGGCACCTCTCCCACGGCTCTCTCGCTCTCCGACGTCCAGGACGCACTCGTCGCCGGCTTTGGTAAGCTGCCCTACATTGGCTGCTCGGGCCCGCGCTACAACGCGACCGAGGCCGGCAAGGGCAGCAACGATACGGGGTACACCGTGCTGACCGAGGTGTGGTACTACCACCACGTCCTGGGCCGCGTGCAGGACGGCGTCGCCGAAAAGGTGCATGCCAACATCACGGGCGGTTCCGTGTCGAGCTGCGCCAAGACTCCGGGTGCCCTCCGGTACTATGAACGGACAACCGGCTCGGATGTGGCTTACTAGACTGGACTAATTTTCCTCACGATGGGGAAATAAAAGTCTTGCCGCAAGCATACTCTTGATATGCTGAATGAAGGGGTGAGCTGATTTTTCGACTACCGAGTACACTATAGGACAATAATGATAATGAGATGAATTTGCTTGTCAAGCCTGTCTTTCGTAGACTTTGAATGTTGTCGAGCCTCTTGATTTTCAAATGAACATCTCTAGAGAGATCAGAGCTGCGCATTTACCCAGCAGCTAACATTGTCATGAATGGTTCTGACGTACGTTTGTTTCCACGACAAGCTTCAAAGTAACATTTCCAATAATAATAATTCATGAAATTCTGGTTCGGAATACCATGCAGAGTCGGGTCGTAGGCATCCAGCACTACCTCTGCAACGCATTCTCTATATTATACAATGCTTCTCTCCATTTTTGGTCATTCCCTAAACGCCTTATGAAATAGCCAGACCATCTTTACTCGTCATCCGCCAATTCCTCGACACGGGGTGCGGCGTATGCTGACTGTCCCAGAGGAGCCGTCTGGATCTGCGTCGAGGTTCCAGTCGTAGTAGCGGTAGCGGGGGCGGATTGACCAGTGACACCAGCAAAGTGGGCAGAGGCCTCGGCATTTACGGCGGTCGACTTTGACTTCTTCTTCTTCTTTGGCTTCGCGGTCTATATTGCAGTCAGTATTTATGGCGCGCGGGAAGATTGAGTAAGCGTGTAACGAACCTCATGCCAAGCCCAAACAGGGCGGAAACTGTCCATGAACGAGACATCTTCCCACAGGTTGGGATACAGCCAAAGTCCAGGCGAGACCAAGAAATACGTAATGCCGAAAAGAATAACACGGAAAATAGCCATGGCAAAGAAGAGACCGAGCAGCCCGATGAAACCCCAACTAAGGTAGTATACACCTTGGCGAAGGAAGACGGGCCAGAGAGGATACAAGACGCAAATGAAAATGGCAATCAAGGCAAGAACAGCGTAAACCTTGCGCATGACCTGACTGCCCTCGTAGAACCAGATGTAGTACATGTCGTCGTGAGCCTCTTGTTGCTGCTCAATCTTGACGGTCCACTGGCCCTTGACGCGCTTTCCCTTCTTCTTGCCGTGATCATGGCCTTCATGAGGATCGACCTTGCTAACGCGCAGAGCAAGCATCGACATGGGCAGCAGCTTGAAGCAGTTCTCGAGACTGGCGCGGTCCTTGATTTCCGGAAGGCCGGGGTTCTTCTTTCGCAGCTTCTCGTAAGCGGGAGATTGCAGGGCGCGTAGGGCTCGCTTAACACGGAACATGTCCTTGCGCTCGCCGTTGAAAATGACAGTTCGGGGCTTGAGGCTCTGGCCACGGAGGAAATTGGCGAGCACGATGGCCAGCGGGTTTGGCGGGCCAGGTTGGACAGGTTGAGCCTGTTGCTGCTGCTGCGGCGGCGGCATTGGGCCCTTCTGAACGACTTGTCCTGGCTGAGGACCTCCTGGGCCTCCTGGCGGCTGACCCTGTGCGCCCTGCTGCTGTGCTTGCTGTGCGCGCATGGCCATTTGCTGCATCTGCTGTCTCCGGATGTGCTCGACGAATTGAGGTACGGACATGCCAGCCTTCTGTGCTTGCTCCTGGAGCTGCCTCTGCATCATGGCAATCTGCTCTGGTGTCGGGGGTGGTGCTCCTGGGGGTCCGCGGAATTGGATCTGGGGGCCTGGCTGGGGCGCGCCTTGAGGTCCTGCTTGGGGACTTCCTTGAGGACCACCCTGAGGACCTCCTTGGGGAGGAGGCTGCTGCGGCGGTTGCTGCGCTTGGTCCGCCATTGTGAATGCGACGTATCGATGCTGTCAATTGAATTCTCTTCGTCAAGTCCGCGTGATCGATATTGAGGAGAAATGCCAGTGGATTGATGGTTGGCAGAAAAAAAAAAGGGATCGGAGGAAGTGATGGAGTTTTGGCGTTGTCGGTGCTGGCCAAAAGTCAGCACACGTGTAATCGGAGAACTAATAAACTGTGTCCTCACTGGAGCTCCTTAAAGGTTACAGCAAGCTGCCGACCTATCAAAAGTCGCAGCGAATGCGCTAGAAGTCCCAGGTAAAGCTCGGTGAGTGGCCAATCAGATAGACCAGAAAGACTCGGCCACCTTGGAGTCAACAACCTACGCTAAATTTCACCCACTGCACTGCACTGCCAGGACAGAGCGCCCAACTGAATGTATCAGCGCCTTCTGCTTCGTATGAGGCCACCATTGGAATCGGCCCAGCACCTAAATGTTAGGGACCTTGAGTTGGAATGAGAGCATAACGAAAGGGCCGGCATCATGTCTGTCTTGCATTAATATATGCACATATCTGCATAATTCTTGGCTGCTATCGACAAACTTGCCAACCACCCACTCCATGACAATAATCCCTTGTTCTCTCCATACAATAGTGCCACCCGCCTACATCCTGTGACAGGACGGATAATCAGTTCACGAACCGCATCGTGTCCAAGAATATCCGGGTCGAACAGTCAGTGTGGCCAAAAAAAAAAAAAAAAAAGACTTGACTGACCGCATTATTGTGATTTTTGCATTTTTACCTATTCATGGGTGTATTTCCGACGACGTGGTTAGCTATGCCTGGTGTAGTCACCAATACAACAATATATTCTATGTACAGATCATGACAAAGCGTTGGTAATCATAGGTAGGAGGTAGATGTTCTACATTAATGTCATCAATTTCTCTTCAAGGAGAAAAATAATACAAGCACTTTTCAGTGTATTGCGAAAATTGGTACATTTTCAGGTACTTTCTTCCAGCCAACCACTTCATTGACACCTACAGTAGTACTCTGTACGTACGCACGTATATCTGCATCTTGACAAAGTGCCTTGTCGCGGATATACTGGCAGAAGAGGTTCCAGCTTGGGTAAGACTACTCACCTGCAGCTGACCAAGCAATCTGACAGGATAATATTGACAGTGATCCATCTTATGGAGTGAGTCGAGTAGCATGAGGGTCAAGTGTCTCGGGGCAGCTGGAGCAGGTTGTTTTTGGGGGTTCTTGGCTGCTTAGCTGAGCTCCTCAATGGAATTTGATGATGCATCAATATTGACCCATCGAGAGACGGATACCTACGACGACCTTCGCTCTGTCCGTGCATGACATATGAGAAAGAAAGAAAAGGGCGAAAAACTTTGCTTGCGCATTTCGGCTTAACGCACGCAATCTAGCAAAGTTCGCATGTGATGGGAGGGATATTTATCATTACTCGCTGCTGCCGATGGAAGGATGGAGTTGCTTTCCTGAGCTCACCTATGGCAGATGTTCAAGTGAGACAAAATGATGGCATTGTTGATCTGCGCCCGCTCCTAGACCCGGACCTCGACACCGAATTCGCCGGTATAGCCTCAAACGATATGCAGGTATTATTAGAAGCCCCCATAATTTGTTTCTCGATTCCGCACGTACACTACTACATCTAGCATGCAAAAAGAGAGAGGGGTTGGTACTATACAGTAAGTGACGCAAAGAACTGATCAATCAAGACAAGAAACAACGAGATCCGATGTATGTTGATGAGGTTTTTTGATCTTAGCCTTGCAGCCAGAGAAGGGATCATCCTCGTCTGGGCATTGGTGAGAGAGGCAATCTACACGCTCTGGTTTGCGCTGCCCTCGGGCGACACTAAAATAACGTCAGTCTTTCTTGCATCCATCCCGCGACCGGTTCAGCTGCTCGTACAATGTGACGCTATAGCCGGCTAAGAGAGAGAAAAAAAAAAAAAAAAGACCCAGAAGTGCACGCATCCGTCGAGAGAGAAAAAAAAAAGGAAAATTTTTAGAAGTACATTCCTCGTCTATCCAGACTCTCTCGTTTCTGTAAGACTTTGTCTGAGAATAGAACAAAGTAAAGTACATGCAAAATGTGGGGTCCGGCTTGAGGCTTGCTCCAGGGCGTTGTTGTTCAGGATCTACACTACCAAAGAATGGGACGTGTCGCTTTCCTTCTCGAACAACCAAAAATACCCTTACCCTGCTGTTCTACAGACTCGTCCCTGACAGCAGAGCAGACCAAGACATTTGAAAAAGGGAAAAAGGAGTAAACGCCCCTGGGATCTGGATCTGGATCGCGGGCGGTCCGTTGAACGGTGGCCGCCTCAAAAGGTAAATGCGAAACATGTATCGCAGGCAGTTCTGCTATGGCTGGCTGTTGTATCTTTTGTTCTGTCACGAACCCCTCCATTTCTGCGCGTGTCTGCTGGCCTCCATCGATTCGGTGCAAGGCCGTCCGTCTCCAGCTTCCGTGGGGCCTCCTGCCTTGCACGCCTCGAGGATCACCAGGGAACAGGGTGAAAAGGATTGCCAGAGGGTGTCGACGGCCAATACACATGACCAATCTGCACACGACCTGACACATCCATCTCGGGACTTCGTGGCAAAGAGCATGTCCAAGAGTGGACTCGCCGTCGCTGGCAGAGGGCCGGAAGACCAAGGAATTCTAAGACATCGAGTCGCTGAAAGGGCATCGGTCATCTTACACCAGCGACGGCAGCTGGCCAATCACATTGAGCCCTCGCAGCTCTTTGGCCTAGTTTGCAGACCCCAGCCCCTAAGCGCCAGTAGTCGGTATGCTGAAGAACGGGGGTCTCTCAGCCTATCAAATCTCCAAACCGACGTCTCGTCACTACATCGACATAGACACACCACACACACACTCGTTCTCATCCATCCCAATTTTGTCAAGTGTCAGTCAGGCTCAAAAGAAAAAGAGAGTACTCAGCTATGTTATGCGCCTAAAAGGTAGGGTCAGAAGGTAATTTCCTTTTCTCTGTTTGCTCTCATCATAAAGACAAACCCGCGGCCAAGTGACCATATGCGAGCGCATGTGTCGGCTCTTTTCCTTTTTGTCCTTCTTTCTTCCTCCTGCTTGCGGCATTGTAACATTACTTGAACTCCGGATTCGCTGGTCGTCTTCCATTTCTGCAGCAAGCCAGCAGAGAGCCCAAAACAACCAACCACACACATACTTCGACATGCATTCAAATACGACACCATGAAAGAATTTAGTGCTATGATCGATGGAGCCATAGCCACTCTCTCTAGTGCCGTTGCTACTTGCTGTGGTTGGCCCGAGGATGATACGTCTTATTATGGTAAGCCGCCCTCGAGACCTGTTCGTATACAACTCGACCTCGAACCTTACCCTGACTTTCACCCTTCTTCCCACACAGTTCCTGAAAAGTCTTTCGTTCCTGTATACCAACAACCATCCTTCACTCCCCCACTGTCGAGCAAACAACCGATGAAGCATAGGAGAGGTCCTTCGCCAACATGGGAGCAGGCTCCAGGGAAGAGACATGATCATGTCCGTACCGCTCTTTCCATGAAAGAACGCTTCTTCTCCTCGAGCAAATCAAAACCGCGCAGGCCGCAAATATCTGGTCCGACAGATTTCCGCCATCTGACTTCAGGTGCTCCTGTACCGTTGGATTATGAGGTCACCGAGGACTTCGAGACCACCCGCCAGCCCAGACATCGCCAGAGGTCCTTTCGTCCTCTGGAGCTCAATATACATAGTAATGCAAATGGTCGGTTGTCGTCCATGCTGCCCTATTTCGGCTATGCCAGTCCGCCTGTCACCCCTCCCGGAAGGATCATGGTTCAATCGAGCAGTAGCGAAGACAGCATCACGCTGAAGCATCAGCAGAGTTCGTCAACCATGTCCTTTCGGATCCCCCGCAAGCCCACTCCCCTTGGATCAGTGTTCGACTCGCCAAGCACAGACATGCTACCTCGTCCTGCACCAGCTCGCCTCAGGGCCCAGGCCTCTACCGAAGCCCCGGCTGCAGTCATGGATGATCTCATCGAGCGCGTGGCCACGGCAATGAAGGAGCGGGATCTCCTGCAAGAGCAGATTGACGATGCCATTGAAAGGCAGACCCTCTACGTTAAGAGCAGGCCCTCGACTCCCGTCTTCAACAATGCCAACATGGAACCGATGCCCCAGGTCCCGGTATTGCCCCCGGACGCACCCTCTTTCAGTGAGAGGATATCAATCGATCATCCCCGTACTGCTCCAGTAAGGAAACCGATGGTTGCTCCTACGCCTCCGCCCAAATCTCTTTCTCGAGATCAGCCAGTCCACGGGCTCTCGCTGAGAAGGGTTATCACGCCACCGCCCAAGTCCGCGGCACGTCCACGGGCACAGGGACAGCTCCGTCAGCCCCAATCATTACTTTCACGCCAGGTTGGCGACCAGCTGCCGCCACCGCCCTTGAGAAAGAAGAAGTCCTTTTCGAGGGTCTCGACCTGGCTAGGCTTCCCGGCCGACGTCAACGACAAGGCAGTGTTTGGATCGGTGCGCGAGAGGTCACGGGACAGATCTCTGCCCGTCTTGCGCCAGGGGGGCTTCTACGAGGTTCGCTCGGCACCACCGCGCAAGTCGAGCTTTGGATCTGATGATACAGTCAGCGACTGGACCTCTGATGCCGAGGAGGAGTTTGACGGACAGACCCTGCCTACGACCTGCAGCCCCAGCAGCAGCGGCGCCGCCACCATCCGGGCCGTAGACCATCCTGTCGTCCTCGGCCAGGCGCCGTGGCGACAGAGCGTCGTCGGAGTTGCCTTTTAAGTCCATTCTTGAGGCATTTTCTCACGACCAAAAAGAAATGTCTACAACAGCGACTTGACTTGTTTGTTTTGTTTGTTTGTTCTCTTGTCTTTTCACACACACGCTTCACGCGCCTTTCTACTAGCCCTGATAATACTTTGTTTTGCATCATGATACCACGACAGGGACGAAAGCTGAATGAAGCTTAATTTTATACATGGTATAGAATCTGGGGCAACGGGTCACGGGACGGACGGACTGGCACTTCATCAACCGGAAATCGAAGCAGCCTTACAAAAAAAAGAGTTAGGAATTAGGCGAGAAGGATACTGGGATATGATAGATTTGGGATTTGGTCACATTGGGGGGTTTTTGGGAGTCAGCGACTCCTCCTTGCATTCTCCGGAGGGAGCTTAGGGATGTTGATTTTTGTGGACTTTTGATACCCTTTGATCAGTCGGATACTAGGTAGCTGGGATGATGATTACATGGAAATTTAGGTATGGAGAAGAGATATTTCTTGGGGAAGCAACTTTTTCCACTTGCTGGTCTATCCAAATTGTGAAGCTTATGATTGTCATTTGCTCCCATCCGTGAGACTTGCTTTGAAAGGTCTTGGGAAAATCACCCGTCGGGCGGTACACCTGGTTGAGCTGCTGCTAAACCTTTCAACCTAGGTCAATCAATCTATCAATGTCCAAGCAAATGAACCTTGGAGGCCGTAGGCATGCCGCTCAATAATGGGCTTAAGCATACTTTTGCGGGGAATACTGGCTCATGCAGAATTATGGTTTCGGTACACGTGCTGTCATGGAGCCAGTCTGATTTGATCTCATTTTATTGTCTCTCTTTTCGAGTCTAAATTTTTGTGTCATTACGCACCCTGTAAAGCGAAAGTTCCCTGCCGTGCCTCTTGCCGAGGTGCGCCTTTCTTCTAGATGGTGGCTGCTAGGTTATATAGCTAATATATCATGTCTTGTATAATTGTGGCATTTCATGGGGTGTCTTGGTTTTTTCCTTTTCTTCCCCTCCTAGCCAGTGGCATTCCGGTGCTCGGCCTCACGTACCGACTGTTCCCAGTCACTCGTGTAAATATACCAGTACTCAACGGCGGCGACCAGAGCCAGGCCGAGGGTGACACCGAACCAAAGACCCTCGAGCTTCCAGTCAAGGGCAAAGGCGGTGCCAAATGAAATGGGCAGCGCAACGACATAGTACGACAGCAAATTGGCGTAGCCGCCAAAGTGCTGCTTGCCTATGCCGCGCAGGAGACCATGTGCCATGGCCGCCATGGCGTCAAAGATTTGCATTATAGCCATGACTATAGATAATTATTCTCGTGATTAGCAGATTACTTGCGGCTGAAAGGGGAAGAGCAGGGTTTTCAAAAGAGGCGAAACATGTCTGAGGGCTTCTCATCGTCAAGGAAGAGACAAGTTGCACCACCGAGGCAAGCCACCGCAGAATGAAGCACTAGGGAAGACTTACGGGGCATGATCTGAGCTACAAGCTCAATGACCTCTTCATCCTTTGTCAGGAGCTTCGGCAGCTCGTATCGCAGACTGCTCAGGATAGTGACATTAAAGATGGAGACAAGACCAGCGGCGACGACGGCAACATGAGCTGATGTCTTGGCGGCCCCAACGAGCTTGGCACCGATTAGATTGGCTACACGCGTCGAGGCTGCGATGGAAATGGGAAATGGAAGCTGGAAGGTAGTTGCTGACAACGTCACGAGGACGGACTGGGCGGCAAGGTAGGTGGTGCCGAACTGACCGCTGGCAAGAGTGAGCACCTCGAAGGCGAGCCATTCCGCCACGACCATGATCATTCCAGGAACTGCGAGTTTAATCATGGGACCTGTGGATGAGTTATCAGCAAGGCGTTCAATTGAGGATGGGTTGACAAGATGTGCATGTCAAGATAAGAGCAACTTACCCCAGTTCATGAGAGCTTTCTTGCTAAATCCGCCCCAGCATTGCGATCCATCAATGAAGACGACATATAGGAACAAGAGCAACGGGATCAAATTTTGTGAGAAGGCCACGGCAATCGGGGCGCCGATAAAGCCCCAACCAAAGTGCCACACAAATAACCAGTTGATTAGGATATTAATTGGTGCCACGATGAGCAACACATAGGTAGTCGACTGGAATAGGCCCTGCGCATTCACGAAGCGCTTACCGGATTCTGTGCATATGAAACCAGGGACACCTGCAATGGCAATCTTGAGATACAGACCGGCAAGTCTGGCAGACTCTGGCTCGGGCACGAGATACGCCAAAATGTCGCCGGCAAACGCCCACAAGATCGCGACTGGGATCAGGAGCGAGGCAAGAAAATAGGTCATGCGTTGTACTTGCAGACCAACGAGGTGTTTATGGCCAGAACCATAGGCCTGCGAGCACAATGTGTCCAAACTAGTTGCCAGTCCTTGAAAAGGCGCATAACAAGTGATGTTTGCCGTCATGGTGGCCAAACTAATGGCCCCGAGTTCAATCTTGCCAATGTGTCCAACGGCAAAGACACTAGCAATACTGACACTGTATTGTAGCAGAAATGTCACGACCAGCGAGCGCGAGTATTTGCCAATCGTTTGGGCCTCTCTCTGCCATGTCGTCTGGATCTTGCCCGAAGCCACAGCGGCCTCCCAAGTCTCATTCAGATGCTCGTGCTCCTGAATAGCAGCGCCGCCGTCTGAAGGACCTGTAGGACGCAGTAGCGGCGACGTTTCCGTGGCTTGCTCCTCGTCCTCGAGCGATTTACGGACCTTGGTGCTAAACAGCTTCTTGTACAGTCGGGTGGGCAGACTCGGCTCCTTTTCGGGAGCGTGCTTGGGGGGAAGGATGTGGTTATCCCTCAGCAGACTGCGCTCTGCATCACGAGACTGCTTCTTCTCGGCCCTGGTGACGACAGGCACCTCTGCCGGCTCTGGCAGCAAGGTCGCCTGGCGATATCCCACGGCGATGCCTTGGGGCTGACGATACAGCGTCGGTCCGGCCTCCTCTGAGCCCGAGTCCAAGCCATCGTCAAAGGCGCCCTCGTGGTCTATCTCATCGTCATCGGAACATTCTGCCAAATCGCGAGCCACAATCTCTTGCGCTAGAGGGGAAGAAGCTCTGAAGGAAGACGCGAGGGAAGATGCGAGATCGCCGAGACCGCGATGGGACGACTTTCTCGGAATGTCCCTCGAGTTCGACATGGTGACCCCGTTATCTTGCCGTCGCTGTCCTCCACACAAGATATATAAAGCTCTTGCTTTTCTGAAAGAGGTGACAGGCGGTGCAAGGCAAAAAGACTCTTGGATTTCTCCGTGTATAGATCAACAACCCAAGCCACTTGGGCGCTTCCGAGCCTCTAAATCGAGAATGACAAAGAGATATGAAGAAAAGAACAAGGCCACCCCTCTGATATTTCCCTCGAGAGCAAGAGCTGACTCACATATGTATGGTCTGGTAACACGCAGAATGCCGACAGACTGTCAGCCGCTCTCAACCCACCCACAACGCCTGCTCTTATGTAGTTTCCGCCATGACGAATCACCGTTCCCACACCTCCAATCTCCTTCGCCGCCTCTTTGCTTGGGTCGCTAAGCAGTGTAAGGTAAGGAAAGCAACTGGTCCCTTTGCAATCCCAGGCGTTTTGCTTTCGGGGGGTCCCACCCGAGCTAGTAGGGGGGCAACTACTGCCTGACACGGTCAACTAAACCGCTCCCGACCTGCCGACGTTCACTAAACCACCTCCCACGAAGCTCCGTCGGCGTCTGTTCCCCGCCTGCAGCGACTTATCGGCAGATTAGTGCTGAACAAGGTCATGGCAGTAGTAGTGTAGCAGAAGCATCTGGGCCCGCCCCCCACTGCGTACTGGGTACTGGGGGACCTCGGAATCATAATCCTATAGATAGGGAGATCGGCCGTTGTACATGATGCTAGTTTGTAAGAAGAATCGCGATCTTGACTCAAGATATATAGAAAGCTGTAAAATCCTTGCCCAGGTCTATATGACCATAGCCAGGGCAATAAGTGAACCCTTGGCTGCGAGTTATATCTACGTAGATAGAGATGGGCGCAAATGCATAATCGTACGAGGATATGTCTCCCGAACACAGCAAGAAATTGAGACAAAAAAAAAAACACGACCAATTGATTGCGCCGAGCAGTGATTGGATCGATGCGATCTGAAAGAGCTGCGCGATCGGCGGTCCGGGTAGTACTATTGGTTGTATTGTTTTCCTTGTCTGCTCGCTAGTAAAGGAAAGTCTTGGATTGGAGATCCGGTGACGTTGCCGGCCACTGACAAGGCGAGGAATTTCGTAATGCGCTTCGATCAGCTCGTTCCTCGTCAGACAGAGGGGGGGAAAAATGAAGACATTGTCTTCTCATGTCTATCCCTCGTTCATTGGCAAATATATTTGATTTTTTAGCGCTGGGGCACCTATTGGAGCTAAACAACTGGCAATTGACTAAATTCTAGCCCCGGGATTTATTCTGTCTTCAGAACAATTCGAACCCCAGTTTCGGCTATCTCAAAGGCTAAGCTGAAGCTGAGTGTGCATCTCTGCATCTTCTTCCCATTTTTCCCAACGTCTCACGCACACGCACGCGCACACTACATACGAACAGCACAGCGAATCGCGCCCAGTTCCGCACCCACCGATTAAACAGATGCAACGCGCACAGCAAATGGACGAGGAGGACGATGCAGCCACCACGTCGTGCTGTGGTCCGCTCTCGTACGCAAACCTCCGACGGCCTGTCGAGGTGGACGATGATATGATGTGAGTGATTATACCTCCACTAAAAAGTCACATGTACCACAAAGAAACACTACATATACACCCGGCATGAAAAAAAAAATTTAGACAAGAATATTGCCCTATGGTATCAATGGCTCCAGAGATATTATCATCTGTAATAGCATCACTCAATTGACTCAATTCTTGCGACATTATTACAGGTCAGATTGGCAGACACAAAACACCTTCTGGGCGTGGCCCTTTTTTGGTCCGCTCGTCTTTGAAAACACCACCAGCGATGCGCGGGATCACTGCGCAAACGAACGCAGTAAGTATTCGTCTCCTCAGATTAAGAAGAAGGAAAGAGATCCATTTTTTGAACAGTACTGAATGTCTTTCCCATCGCAGCATTCCTTTCGTTCCTGAGGCTGTCAGTCTACATGGCCATCGTTTCCGTCGCCATTGTCCTCTCATTCCATCTCAAGTCGCAACCATCCCAGCTGGAGCTGCGCATGGCCCGGCCTCTGGGTTTCATTTTCTGGCTCCTATCGCTGTCTTGTTTGATGGTCGGCTTTTGTAATTACATGCGTTCGTCTCACCTTTTCACTAGCTGTTGGGAATTCTCGTTGGGCCATGTGCTGACCATGATATTGTAGAGACCGTAAACAAGTATAGCAGGAAAACGGCCATAGTTCAGACAGGATGGAGAACTCAATCGGTATGCATGACTTAAATTACGACCATTTTTGCACATGAAATGATGAACTGACATTTACCCTCCCTTTAGATCATTTCGCTTATCGCTCTGGCTATTGTCGGGACATGCATCGTTTTACTGGTCGTCGCCAAGATCGATGTGGAATAATTTTCGCATTTGTTTTGGTTTGATTATTTTATCATGACCACCGCCCCAAAGCTTACATGCCATCACTGGGCCGTGCGCCTTGATACACATTTCCAAGGGTGAGTGAAATCTGACTGGGAGGGATATATATATAAAGTCCATCTAATCGTCGAGACAGAACAGATCCTGCGTTGTCATGTCGACACGCGTTTTCGCTGCCACCTCGGCGGTGCATCTCCCTACTTGCGTCTTGAATTCAAGAGCATATTTCGCAGCAGAATTATCTAGCTCGTCAAGGTCCGTTTTGACGCCATCCCAGGCGACCAGGGGTAAGTTTCCGAATGGACGTAATGATCCAGCATCTAGCAGGCTTTGGAGAGAAGCTTCAGACGTCCAGACTGCTTCTGGTCCAGCCTTGAGCTTCGCCATGGCTCTCTCAATTTCTTCCTCACTGGCCTTATCCGGCAACGTGACGGGCTGTTCCGTTTGCGCATATTCTTCCGGCGCGTGCTGAAGCTCCGTGTGTACTGTTGCCAGACTTCTCGCGGTTTCCTCTCCAGGGTACAAGACCCAATACCCACGCAACTTTGACAAGCGCAAAACATATTCGAGCCATGACGGATATTTGGTGCTGATGAGCTTCTGGGACAACAATGATGGGGTGGACGCCGATTTTTGCTGGATCTCGAGCGATCGCGACACGAGGTCATGGAGCTCTATCCACTTCTCACCCATGAATAACATGGCATGGCTGGTTGGCGCCTGCCAGAGGAAGGACGATGAGACGTCTTGCTGCGATTTCTTATCCCGCGACAGAGGTGGTGTGAATTGCGCATTGCCGTCTAGTAGCTGCAGCGGCTGCTCAAGACTAATACCAAATAGTCTCGCGTCCCAATGTTGTATTTGTGCCGCTTCAGAATACCTGTATTCCAAGAGCGTGTATTTGAGATCTTGGTCGCTGTTTGTTAGCACAGACGTTCTGGTCCAAGGGGCAATCACTACTTACAGTGGAAGAAGTTTGGTGCAAGCTCGACCTGGGGAGTAAGGACCAAGACGTGTGACATTCTGGGGTCTGCTGGCCAGAATGACTCTAGGAAACGAGCCGAGCTTTCCTCCTCTGTCAATGTTTGACGAGGTATCCTATGTCTCAGAGATATGTACTTTGCGCCTGTTGGATTGGGAATGTAGGATGGTGGCCACTGAAAATCTTGCAAAAATTGCTTCGTGGCAGGGTCAATGTCAGGCGTAAGCTCAATAGTCAAGTGTGGAATTGAGCTGGAAGTAAAATCTGCTGCGCTTAGAGATCTGAGCAACCTGACCAAGCTACCAGTCGTGCCTGGAGTGGTCTGGATGAGAATGTCTATATGATTTTGATTCCATGCTTTTCCCGCGAAATCAGTAATAATCATTATACACTGGAGTACATTAATGTGCTTACCTCGCAACGACCGACTATCAAGCCTGGTCATCCACATGAGATTCTGGGGAGAATATGGGAGATCAATAAGAGTAACTCCAGTCGCTTTTGCATGCGTAGACGTGCCCCTAGTAAAGAAATACTCTTCCCAGCCTGATCCATCGACAATGATTGCTTGCGGGTGCATCCACATGAAGATGTGGTGAAAGGCACGGAACACTGCATACTCCAATCGTTGTTCGGACATGAAAGCTGCCCTGTCTGCTCGTGCGTCATGAAATATAATCTGGCAGCTTTCGTCGATGCCATTGATCCTCTGAAGCTCCTCCATGTCGATATCGCTGCGGCTCATTAGGGCAAAGTGTACATAATTCCTCGCCTCTCGGCCCATCTGGCATGCGACAGGAAGCAAATTTGCCGCGCTCTTGAGGCTCGAGGCCGCAAAGAGGATATTCTTGTTGACCAGCAGGCCGCCGTGCGTGCCGGCAATGGCATGCAGAGAGGCAGCCAGGTTATAGAACTTGGGCGGTTCATTGTTGGCGGCCCCTGCGCCGTTGCTTGCGACGCCAGCTGCTGCAGCGGCGGCGGCGGGCGGCGGGTGCGCATCGGCGTGGTTCTTTGTTGTAGGAGCGGTCGCTTCGCCGTAGTGTGGCCGGCTCGACCGTATGGGGCCGAGGTCGGTCGGGATGTTGTGGACAAAGAGGTAGAGCGCGACGACGACCAAGAGCGAGATGATGGCGCGCTTCAGGTGCCTCCGTTGAGGTCCTCGCTTCGGGTGCCAGCCCGGCAAGGCTGCGGGGGCCGCCGAGCGCTTGTGGTCGTCGTCTTTCTTGCCCATTTCCTCATCGCTAAGGAGGAAGCGTTGAGCTTTCCCCCATGCAGCCGCCATTGCTCAGGCTTGTCGAGCCCGACTGGGGGGAAGGCAGGGCGTTGTCGGTTGCTTCGGTGTCGGGGGTTGCATCGAAGGTTCACTGTCATGCCATGACGCACGGGGAAACGCAAATGTCAATCGTGGTCGTGACGCAAGCTATTGTGCCTACATTAAGGCCATAGGTCGTTGGGTGGAAGGTAGAGGTAGATATCGGAACTGAAGAGTTGAAAGCAATGTAGGTAGAGAAGGGCAGCTCTTATGACGATTGATGCATTTACCCTTGAAACATGCTGCGCTTCGCCGAAATGCGCCGGGGACTGCACTAGGTACGAGCTTAGCTTTCAGCAGCAGGGCAGTCCAAAGGGTCCGGGTCCAGTCCAGTCCAGTGTCCAGTGCCGTTGCGCTGGTCCCGCCTCTGATTAGAAACACTTCAATGGATCCGTTCGTTAGCAGCGCGAAGCAAGTTTAAGGTTGTTCGGGCAGTCAGCAACGGCCGGGATATTGGGGACAAGACAAAAAGTCTGGAGACGTGTCACGATCCTATCATGGAAGGAAAGATGCCGAATAGCCAGGCAAGCCAGGGGTTTTTTTACGTGCCGTAGATAGGTAGTAGTTATTGTTATTAATCACGTCAAATGTGTTGCAATGATACAGTAGTATTTTGCCAAGCATAATCCAAATAGCTAAGGGGAAGGTGAATGTGTACTCTGTAGGTTTCTATGCTATAGTACAATGAATGGTGCATTAAAACGCTTTGTTCGTGCTTTGTCTCAAATCGTTCAATCGCCTAAGCCATGTACCGTTTTCCATGCCCGGAACCCCATATGCTTTGGACGGCCGTTCTAATACCTAGGTATTAGTTCCGCCTCCGTATCTGCGATTTCCCCCGCCAAGAACCCCACTAGGACCCTTCAGCCTTAGACTACCCGTCAAAGACCCACTCGTCGCCGACCGTGTATCGACGATAGCAACGGGATCCACAGCAAAATTTCCATGTTTTCATGAAAATATGACTTTTTTTCCTAGCGGAAGCTCGACAAATATTGGTGAACAAACAGCGTCTTGCATCAGCCACTAGTCCTAAGGAACTTTTCTTTTTCTTCATTCTTTTCTCTCGGGAGGCCCTCCAGGCATCATCCAAAGAACTTTGGTAAATCAAAATGGGAAAATCAAGAAACAACAGAAACAAGGGCGGCCAGCGTTCCGACCCTCTGGCCAAGCCCATCAAGCCGCCAACGGACCCGGAGCTTGCGGCGCTGAGAGAGAAGAACATTCTCCCCGTCTTGAAGGATCTGCAGAGCTCTGATCCAAAATCTCGTACCTCGGCTGCTAATGCTGTAGCCAACATCATTCAGGATACCAAGTGTCGCAAATTGCTGTTGCGGGAGCAAGTCGTTCACATTATCCTAACCGAGACTCTGACCGATGCCAGCATTGAGAGCCGGGCAGCCGGTTGGGAAATTCTCAAGCTTTTGACTCAGGAAGAGGAGGCCGACTTTTGCGTTCATTTGTTTAGAATCGACATATTGACTGCTATCGAATTCGCCGCCAAGCAGGTGAGTTAGAGACAAGTCCGAGACATGATGGCAAATGAATTACCACCACTTACATGTACATTAGGTCACAGAATCGTTGAAGGCACATGGAGGCGCATTCAACAAGCGCTCAAAGGCCGAACAGACTCTCATTTTCAACATTGCAGAGGCGCTAGCTGCGATTATTTCGGCGCTGGCTGAAGCCCAAGATGACATGCTCGAGGTCATTATTCGCAATGAGGTCATTGTTGGTTTTCTCTTCAACCTCGTGACGAACGAATTGGTGTCCGAGAGTGCTCGGAATAGCAGCTTGTCATGCATGATGACCCTGGCCGAGGACAACCGCCAGTTTGTGGAGACGATTCTGGGCGACAGCCAGAGCAACATTTTCAAGCATCTCATGGCATTCAAGGCTGGCAATGGACTGAAGGCCGTTTTGGCGTGCGGAGTACTACATAATGTCTTCTCTGCCATGGAGTGGGATGACGCAAACCCCGGTAGAGATAACTCAACCGATGCATCCCTAATTCCAACACTTGCCACTGCGCTCGAGGCTGCGCCTAACAATGCCGCTGATGCAGCCGACTCAAGCCCGGTTGAGATTCTTCAGATGGCTCTGGAGATCCTCGCTTCAATCGGCACCGCCCTGCAGGAGGCTCTTCAAAAGGGCAACAAGTCCAAGGGTCGTGCTGGCGCTGGTGGATCGAAAGGACCTGGCGATGAAGACATGGTCATGGATGCCGACGATGATGAGGATGACAACACATCAGAGAAGGCACCGGAGGAGGATGATGACGACGACGACGAAATGGATGCAGATGCCATGGAGGCTGACATGGATATGGTGACTGGCGCAGACGACTACCCCGATGAGGCTGCCGGCCTTGACGACCTGCCGACTCTGAAGCAGCTCATCCAAAAGGCTATCCCACAGATTGTCAAAGTCTCCAACAGCAGCATTGGTGACCAAGAAGCAGCGCTTCTGGTCCGGACTCACGCTTTTAACGCGCTGAACAACATCGCTTGGACGGTATCATGTCTCGATTTCTCCGGCGACAACAACACCCCTGTCCTCGCGGCTTGGACGCCGGCGGCTCAGTTGATATGGAGAGAATCGATAGCACGTGTTCTTTCTAGCGACACATCGGATGTCTCGTTGGCAACTGTCGTCACAAGTTTAGCATGGGCCATCGCTCGTGCACTTCACGACAAGACTCCGCTTAGCGGCGATGAGCCGAACAAGTTCATGTCGCTTTACCACGCCTCGCTCAATCTCCCGGGAGACGCCGAAGACCCATTCCAAGGACTCGGCGTCAAGTGCATTGGTGTGCTAGGACAGCTCGCCATGGACCCTGCGCCGATACAGCTGAACCGTGAGGTTGGAGTCTTTCTCATTACAGTCACATCAAAGCTTCCAGAAACACCGGCGGCGGATGCCGTGGAAGCATTGAATCAAATCTTCGATATTTATGGCGATGAAAACCTTGCTTGTGATAAGGAGGTGTTCTGGAAGGATAACTTTCTCAAATATCTTGAGGAGATTATGCCAAAGGTACGGACCATGGCCAAGAAGGTTGATAAGAGAAGCTCGACAGAACTACGGGTTCGTGCGGATGAAGCGTCGATGAACCTGTTCAGGTTTATTCAGTATAAGCAGAAGCACAAGCCTGCAAACTAAGGCCACCCAGGGATGGAGACATGATTGGAACATTCCTCAAAGCAACGCCGAGTCGGAAGGAATATCATGCAGGTTAATCATGTTGGTGTCAGCCATGCAGTCGACCTGAAATTTCACCCCATTCCGGAGAAACTTGGCTCGGAGAAACTTGGACCGGCAGAACCAGACAGGAGGATAGTCATTCCCGTGATGGAACAAAGCGTATGGAACAAATCGGAATACTAGGATGAGGTGGGGATTTGTTCAGAATGGAGAAAAAGAAGAATCATAGCAGTATACATAGTTGCAAAAAGAAGGTTACACCATCATGCCCATTCAAAAAAAAGCCTTGGGGTTCGCCTAGAAGTTAAATGGTCCAGACTACACATTATGTAAACCCCTGACTTTCATGAGGACCCTTGCTATTTACCCCTCTATTTACGCTACTCGCACCACCTAGTGTTTAGTATCAATGTATTATGTACTATCGGGGATCCACACAGCAAATCAGGTCCGCGATAATTTGTTGACGCCCCTCGATACTCGACAACCCCGATGCTTACTTCCTCCTAACTACCGGGTTTCGTTTTTGTGGCAAGCCCGACCAACATTCCTTGAATAAGTAATATAATTACCTGGTGTTTAGCCCCCTCCACCACGGCGCAGCCCTTCTTCCTCCTTCGTCTTTCCTTGATCACTGACTTCTCCTCTGCCTACCAAAGCTATAATACATCATGTCGGCCACAACCACCACCACCGAGACCGGGCCCATCACGGCGCAAAACATCCTGAGCCTCTTTCCCGAGATTGACACGACTTCGGTTGCGCTCGAGGGTCACGATGAGGAGCAGATTCGTCTGATGGACGAAGTCTGCATCGTTCTCGACGAGAATGACAAGCCAATTGGCACCGCCAGCAAGAAGCTCTGTAGGTCGCAAGCGCGCATTGAGCCTTACCGCCCATTGAGGCTAATCCCAACATGACAGGCCATCTCATGACCAACATCGACAAGGGCCTGCTGCACCGCGCCTTTTCCGTCTTCCTCTTCGACGACCAGAACCGACTGCTCCTCCAGCAGCGCGCCAGCGAGAAGATCACCTTCCCCGACATGTGGACCAACACCTGCTGTTCTCACCCGCTGAGCATTCCCGGTGAGACTGGCTCTGACCTACCCGAGTCCGTCGCTGGTGTCAAGCGCGCTGCGCAACGAAAACTCGACCACGAGCTGGGCATCAAGACGGAGCAGGTCCCCTTTGACGACTTCCGCTTCCTCACCCGTATTCACTACAAGGCCCCCAGCGATGGCAAGTGGGGAGAGCACGAAAGTAAGACAACTTTACTTGGATCGCCACCGCGTCTGCGGCTGGGCAGTTGAGGGTAGTATTGAACTAATTCCGTGTGCTTTACAGTTGACTACATCCTGTTCATCAAGGCCAATGTCGACTTGAACATCAACAAGAACGAAGTCCAGGACACAAAATACGTCTCCCCCGAAGAGCTCAAGACCCTCTTTGCCGACCCCAAGCTCAAGTTTACGCCGTGGTTCAAGCTCATCTGCGAGTCTATGCTCTTTGAGTGGTGGTCACACCTTGACTCGGGTATCGATGCATACACCAATGAGCAAGAGATCCGACGCATGTAAGACGGAGGGAGGAGCTGACAGGAAGAGACCGATATGTTGCGAGCACGAGGTGGAGAGTGCTAGTGACACAAAGAAAGGGTCGAAAGATGCAGAACTTGTTGCTGTTGTTGTGGCAGTATTCAGGTAACTCTCATTCTCTTAGATATCCGCTCTCCTCGTTCAACGGGAGAGGCGATTGCTTTTGGAGGGCAAAATAATAGACTTACGAACCAAAATCATGAAACTGACTGGTGACGCCTTGCCTTGCTCGGAGTCCGAGAATTCATGCTGACCCACAAAGGCGGCAGGATCAGCCACTCAGTATGATGCCTGTCAGCAAAGTATACGAACCAGACTTGGCTCATGATGCAAGTAGAGCTGGAAAGACAGGGCCAATCGAGCAATGCCATGCCAAGTCTGTCCCCCCGCAAAAGACCAATTGGCCTGACTGATCACTCCATGCCACTGGCGATAAACTTTGAGAAACATTCACAAGACATCATCTGACCAAGCGAATGCCCATGGAAACCAAACCCTTTTCGCCTATCCTCGCCTTACCAACGTGCAGGGCGTCCTTGGGTTGCATTCCATTGGATATCTGAGACCCTGATACTGCAGTGTACGGTCTGTCAACCCCACTCTTGCTGTCCACTAGCCGCTGCGGGTCGTTGTAGGCGCATGGAGAATATGCAGTCCTATCTGGGACTATCGCCATCCGCTTACACCGTGGTGAGTGAACCATCGGGCGACCAACCATTCATGGTATTCCTGGAGCGATCCTAAGGGCCGGGGAGATAACGATGGTTATCGTCTTCTCTTGTCTTTTTGCTTCGGTCAAATCTATACCTTTTGCTACACTTTCAAACTGGATCACGAAGGACTGTATGTATTCGTAGTTATACTGAAGATTCCTTGGCAGTCCATCGATTGGTTGGGACAGTCAGTCAGTCTGTCTACTCAACAAAACCTTCAGTAGTAGTATCCTTGTTTGCCTCTCGACCGTGTCTTACAAATGTCCCAAGACTGCTGATCCAGGCTTGCTTGCCAACACTTGCACCACGCACCCCACGCCAACCCAGTGTCCGTGGTACAGTTGATCTACATTCGTCTGCCACTAATAGCCCGCGGGCTGCCCGGTCTCGTCCAAGTCCTGGTTTTCCTTCTTTTCCTTCTCTCTCTCTCTCCTCTACCATAGATCCCAAAGACGCAGATTTGTTATACACAAACAATTGTCGTGAACTAGTCCAGTAATCAGCATTGGATGTTTGCTCTTGCAACAATCTAACTGCCCATATATCTGGGCTGTAGTTATTCAAGACGCTGTGCTTCCTTGTTGCTTGCCAACATTGACTTGCTTCATCTCCTCAACTTTGTTGATTCTCGGTATTCGTTGTCGTGCTATACTATTGCAAGACCATATCTTGATATCCCATTGTGTCATCTTTCTGGTCCCTTGACGACACTCTATCCCTTCCCATACTCTCAAGAACATCCTTTGTTTTAAAAGTGCGACCCGATCGAAATCTACATTGATGTCTGTTGACCTACGAACGACCCTCTACTGCCTGAGTCACCCAGAGAGATTCATGCCCGTTACAAGAACACAATTGTCCAAAGTTCACACGGGCGATTCAAACCAGAATATATCAAGTAGTAAAAGTAGTAAACAGTGTAAGTCCATGATCGTTCCGATCCGATCGAGTCCTTGCGGTAAAGAGACCGGCAGACAAGTCCCCATTGGACTCAAAATATACTAATATATATATGCCACACTATAGTAAATCAAGCTTGAACTAGCCCAGCATGGCGAATGTCCAGTCTGTCCAATTCTCCAGTACGGAAAGACAGCTGACCAGCAGCAACGGCACCGGTCCGGCAACGACCATGATCTCTACCGTGGGGGTCGTCGGCGTCGGCGCCGTGGCGGGTGGTGGCCTTGTCGGAAATGGCAACGTCAATGCGGCGGCGGCGGCCGACCTCGGCATCATCATGGTGAACAAGGGTCCACCACAGCCGCAGCGTCGCCGGTCCCTGGTGCCCGAGAAATGGCGCGACCAGGTCCGGGCCGTCGGGCTCTCGGAGCACAAGGAGGCGGGACTCTCGATTGCGCAGGCCTTTGCCAATGACGAGCTGGCTCACTACCTGCTCGACGCCGACGACATGGCTGCCATCTCCGACGAGGCCCGCTGGCGGCTCCATGTCGACATGATGAAGTATATTGTCGCCGCCCACTGCCTCAGCGGTCTGGTCACCACCATTGGCCCCGATTATGAGGGTGTTGCTCTTTGGTAAGTGAATCCTTCTTTCTTTCTCCCCTTACTACCGAGTCCAATACCTCGCTATTTGTTGGTTTTTGCCATATATCATAATCCCCAAGACAATGAATAGGTTGGACGTCTAAGAATAAAGGATTACATTCCATGAACCACGATGGAGTCACTTGACGAGGCCATGAGACACGAGAGACCCGCCGCCGTGACGGTCGCAAGTCTCCTGGGTAAGTGCCCATTGATGAGAACGAATACTTTTCTCTGCAATCAGGCCATCTCATATATTCATTGTCAAGGTTACTTTATTTTCTTTTCTAATTGCTCCAAACTCGAATCATCATATATAATTGGCTGTATCCAAGCACATAAAGAAAACATCACCGTTCTTCATCATACAATCCTGAACTCATACCATCAATGGCCTGAAAACCACCATGACTGACCAGAAAACAATTATCCAAAAACAGGGCCCCTCCAGCCTCCAACACGGACGACTGGCTCACACTGCTGCGCTCGGGCTCGTGGCGACTATACTACCTCTTGAGCGCCGGCGGGCGGTACCGCTACTTTTCCGAGCTGCTGCCGCGGCTGCACCAGGTCAAGCACGAGGTCATGGGCGAGCGTGACGACGACTGCTACTACCTCGTGTACATCGGCACCAAGCCCTCTGGCCAGCGTCGCGGCTACGCGCGCAAGTTGATCGAGGCCATGGCTGTCAGGGTATTTTCTCCCCCTTTTCCCTCCCTCCACAACCCGATGCCCAATATTATACGCCTCTCAGCCGTGACTTTTATGTCCTATTGTTTCTTCTTGTTCATGTCCACAATGTGCTTCAGGAGTTTTGACTAACGAATGTACCGGGAGGGGTATGAAAATACAGGCTGATGTAGAGAATCGAGCCATGTATCTCGAGTCCAGCTCGGAGCGCAACACGGCCTACTACCGCAAGTTTGGCTTCGAGGTCAAGAGAGACATTTACCTGGGCGAGGCCATGACGGGTACCGAAGATGCCGCAGGCAAATCACCTGTTCGCCTCTCCATCATGGTCCGAGAGCCGCAGGTCATGAGCGGCAAGACCATCCCCATCAAGCTTGGTGCCGGCTTCAAGGGCTTGCACTGACGGACCTCGTCGAGTCCGAATTACTCGGGGTGAATATTGGCGAGTGTTCTTTTCCTTCTTTCTTTCATTGAGGTATGCCATCAGCCTACATTTCGCTGTGTTTTATCGTATTAAGTTCTTCGCAGGTTGTTGCTTTCTCCAGATCGTACTCTCATTCAACATGGGACGTGTAAAAGAGTCGCGTAGTTGCCATAGTTGCCATGATTTTGCAAATCAAATTGTTTCGCGAGCTATGGTGCATATCACCAGTTCAGTTTCCACGCTGGGTGGTCATGATCGAATCTTTCATATTGTTCATCGTTTTGTTTTCTATTCATGACTCAACGTCTTCTCCGGCATAAGTAGATAGATGCAATCATCCATACGCTCCTTCAATATAAGCGCGGTCCAGCTTGTTAAAGACCCTCCATATACTCGCAATTAATCGAGGGGTTTGGGCTGCAGTAGTAAGTGGCTACAATCGAATGCCACTGCCCTTTCTCTATACACCAGCAATGTTGTGTCAAAAGGGATATAATAGACCCCCCATACCAAAGCAATATGCTTAGCAGTCTCATACAACGACAGCGCATCCACTGCCTATCAAGCTACTGAAGAGACATGTACGTTGATTCCATAGCGCCCCTAGTTTTCATTCCGGCCCGCTCTCTTAGTAATCCAGGACAGCGTATGTATCATCATCAGTAGTGGTGAAAATCATGCCGGGGCCAATGAGCTCATCTGCAGCGGCCTGAGCATCAGCAATGCTCATTTTGGTGGCCGAGGCAATGTCGTGGATATGTATGCCCTCGGCGCCGTGGTCGGATGTGTTCAAGTATTGGAAGAATCTCTGGGCTTTCTGTGAGCACATCCGCAGCTTGGATGCAATTTCCCCGTTCGCGTCGGTTCCCTTTTGATCGTTACCACCATCTACAAACATGCTGTCGTCATCGCCTGCATTGCCATCTCCGTTGGTCATGCCGTTGCCTCCGGGAGCGCCCTTCGTAAACGACAGGTGCACGTAAGTGGCCTCGAGCAGGTGGTACGAGACCTCGTTGTAATCGGTACAAGCCCGCACGGCATGGGCGCCGACGTGTCGCTTGTTGTTGAAGCTCTTGAGTCTGCCGTAAACACGAACGTATTCCATGAGTTCGTGGCTCGGCTTATTTTCCTTGTCCGCATCGAGCCACTGCTTGACTTCGATGATGCCGGTGCCGTCGTCAATCTGGTAGGTAATGTTGGTTGTCTGTTCTGAGGCGTTGCGGACCATGCCGACAAAGGTCACTTGTGTCACGTCGAGGTCGTCGATCCGGAAAGGGCCATCTGGGTAGGCTTGGTTGGCATCGATGATTTGCTTTATCGTCACGGGACGTAGTGTCTCTTCGCCAAAGCCCTGTGATGGCATCCAAGTCAGTCAGAGCAGACGCAGGCCGAGCAGAACGAATGGTTCATTCCTCTCCCTGTGCGCATTCGCCATGCTGAACTCACCTTTCCTCCGCTCTGGCTGCCTCCCTGCGATCCTCCAAAGAAACCGCCTGCATTATCGCCGCCGTTTGCGCCGTATCCAGACGTGGAGTAGTTGTTCTCTCCGTATGCTGGGATGGGTGTTAGCTGCACCGCTTGTTGCCAGAATAAAGTAGAGTGGACTTCCACGGGCAGAAAAACTTACCACTCATGATGACCTTGCGATAGACCACGGGTTCCTGTGTTGTTTGGATTGGTGAAGTTTGCAAGTGGTGAAGTATGTTTGAATCGCCAGGAGGGGAGACGCGTCTCAGTACACAGGTGACGCGACGAATTTTAATTGAATTTCTAGGCTGAATCGCGGGGTCTTGCGACTGCGCACCACAAAACTCGCGGACAACGGGGCGGACCAGTTGACGCTAAACACAAGCAAGAGGCAAAGTGTGGTGAATGGATTGATACATGGCAATGATGTTTTTCTTCTGTGTATGCCTTGGACACGATGCATATATGAGATTTATTTGCTTGACTCTCTTTTTCTATGACATGTAATCTTGTACTTCAAAATGGATCTTCTGGAACTTTTCGTCTAGATATTCTCATGTCTTGCAACTCAATAGCGCTGAAAGGAAAGCCATCTCTCGCTCAGTAGCGCGTCAGAACACTGCCTACATTTAGCATTACCTAATGAATATTCCGTAGCAATGGCATGAAGCTCCTAGTTGCCTAGTGCCTGCTCATGCTATCAGATACGTACCGACCAGCATTCACATGGCAGAGGAGGCGCATTTGAAGCTCGGCCTCTACTGTCTACAGGTTAAAAATGACAGTGTGATTTCATGGGGTAGGTAGGGAGGACTCCAGCACCTAATGTACCATTTTAGGTATTTCTTTGGATGTATGTAGCGAACCCCTCCCCCAAACATACCTACCGGGGGTGCCGGACGCGAGTTTCCGGCAACCGTCCAAGACACTTATTCACTCCACTGCGAGCGAGACCTCGACCTCGGCTGCTGCCGCTACACATACCCTGACATCAGCAAGCCGATGCCGAACGGTACATACATAGATTCATACCTACCTACCCAAACCTTCCATCGGCTTCTGCATCGCCTCTATTGTTTTGCGCATGATCAACATCATCATTCAAGGCACTTTGCCTAGTGTCGTGCTCTCTTTACACATTATCAACTGATAAATCGCAACTGTCCTAATCCAGAAGCAGTGCATTCGGACAAACACAACCAGCGCCTGTACTCGACGATCCTGACTCCATCTCAAGATGGCTCCCCCGGCGCAGTCAGCCATGATGCCGGTCATACCGCTGACCAAGGGCAGCGTTCTATTCCCTGGCTCGGTCCTGCGCATTCCCGTACCTTCGAGTCGAGGCGATATCCCGGCACTTCTCTCCGGCGTCTACACACGTGCTTCCAAGGGCTCGAGGCGCGTTGATCAAATCCCCGTTGTCTGTGTGCCTCTCAACTCGCCGTTGCTGAGTCGGCGGGGACAGCTCCTCATCGCAAACGATCCCGACAAGTACAACGACCTTCTCGCTGCCGATTCGGCCAACATCAAGAAGGATAAGCTGTTTGGCTACGGAGTCACGGCCAAGATTACAGGAATACAAGGCCAGAATGGCGGCGAGTTCAACCTTCTTGTTCAGGGCATCAGCCGCGTTTCCGTGGAGAAAATTACACAAGAACACCCCTTCTTTGAAGGCAAAGTGGCGGCTCACACTGACACCATCCCTATGCACGTCATCCAAAGTACACACTACCAGGAACTCTTCTCTAGGCTCAAGCAACTGTCTAGAGAACTGATAGCGTATCTCAGGGTCTCTTCCCTGCTTGTGGCTTCGAGCTCATCGGGACTGAACCCGTTACTCTCCAGAAGACTCGAACAGTTGATTTCCTCCAAGGGCCCCCAAGAAGGAGGCTCTCTCGCGGATTTCATGATGAATCTAGTCGACGCGAGCTATGAGGACAAGCTCCAAGTGCTTAGTGCCGTTGACATACAGACTCGCATGCAAAAGGTGATTGAGTTGCTTGAGCGCCAGGTGGATGATATCAAAGGAAACATCAAGATCACGACTGTTACTAGCACCCACATACCCATTCAAATCGAAGACGACGAGCACGAGAAGAATCCAAAAAAGAGCTCGTCTCGTAAGCCTCTCTTGGGTGTACCGCAAGGAGCAGGCTTCGACTTGGGCAACCTGTTTGGCGGCGGCGGGCCCAAGGGAGGTCCGCAGCCCGACTCTGATGACATGCAAGAATTGGCAAAAAAGATCGAGGCCGCCAAAATGCCGCCAGAGGCTGCGAAAGTCGCAGAAAGAGAGCTGGGTCGGTTGAAACAAATGATGCCTGCGCAAGCCGAGTACCAAGTGATCCGCACCTACCTCGAAACCCTGGCTGAAATCCCTTGGTCTATAATGACTGATGATCCTATCGGCGTTGGCACTTTGGAGAAGGCAAGACAACAACTCGACAACGACCATTACGGTATTGAAAAGGTCAAGAAGCGATTGTTGTCATACTTGACCATTGTCAGACTGATGCAGTCTGCCAATGAGAAGGTCGACGAGCAGATCAAGCAAGCCGAGCAAGAAACTGTCGACCTAGAGTCAAGCAAAGGCGAGGCCGAGGAAGGGGTACAGCTTGACCCACAACTCGAGGAAAAGATCAAGGCGAGCGGCATCAAGGTCCAAATGCTTCAGAACAAGATCAGGACTGAAAAGGCTCCCATTCTGCTCCTCATTGGTCCACCGGGCACTGGTAAAACTAGCATTGCTAGATCGATTGCCACCGCGTTGGGTCGCAAATTCCACCGGATCTCGCTTGGTGGTGTACGTGATGAGGCAGAGATTCGGGGCCACCGCAGGACATACGTTGCGGCAATGCCTGGACTCATTGTGCAAGGCCTGCGCAAGGTTGGAGTTGCGAATCCAGTCTTCTTGTTGGACGAGATTGACAAGCTGGGCATGGCCAATCACAATGGTGATCCATCGGCTGCCATGCTAGAGGTTTTGGATCCGGAGCAGAACCACGCCTTCAGCGATCACTACGTAAATGTTCCGATTGACTTGAGCAAGGTGCTCTTCATTGCCACTGCCAACTCCATGGACACAATACCCGGCCCCTTGTTGGATCGCATGGAGACTCTTGAGTTCTCCGGATATACAACCTTGGAGAAGAGACATATTGCTTTGCAACACCTTGTACCAAAGCAGATTCGTGTCAATGGTCTGACCGAAGATCAGGTCATCTTCAGCGAAGAGGTCGTGTCCAAAATCATTGAGTCATACACACGTGAGTCAGGAGTACGAAACCTGGAAAGGGAGATAGGCTCTGTTTGTCGTGCAAAGGCAGTGGAATTTGTCGAAGCAAACGACAAGCGCAAGCCTGAGACATACCGTGCCGAGGTGACTGTGGCAGACCTGGAATCCATTTTGGGTATAGAACGCTTCGAGGACGAGATTGCCGAGAAGAACTGCCAACCAGGCATCGTTACCGGCCTTGTAGCGTACAGCTCTGGTGGGAATGGCGGCATCTTGTTCATCGAGGTACTCGACATGCCTGGTGACGGCAGTGTAGAGTTGACGGGTAACCTGGGCGAGGTGCTGAAGGAAAGTGTCAAAGTAGCAAGGAGTTGGGTGCGACATCATGCATATGAGCTGGGTCTCACCCAAGATCCGTCGGAGAATATCATGAAGAACCGGAGCCTCCATGTACACTGCCCATCTGGCGCGGTGCCCAAGGATGGTCCATCAAGCGGAATGGCGCAAGCCATTGCCTTGATCTCACTATTGTCAGGTCGACCAGTGCCATCCACTATGGCAATGACTGTAGGTCTCATTCTTACGTCTCTTCCAAGCATATCAGACTGACTGAAATGTACAGGGTGAATTCCAACTGTCTGGCCATGTCAAACGGGTCGGTGGAATCAAGGAAAAGCTCATTGGAGCCTACCGCGCAGGTGTAAAGACTGTTCTGCTCCCAGCACAAAACGAAAAGGATGCCAGGGAGGTGCCCTCGGAAGTAAAGGAGGGATTGAAAATCATTTACGTCAAGTAAGTAGCCGCCCTGAGACATCGCACACCCGCAACCGTTTTGTCTCTCGCTTCCGATACTACCCTATTCGACGAATGCTGACCTGTGTATGCAGTCACGTATGGGACGCTATACGTCAGGTATGGCCCGAGGTTCAGTGGCCACAGGAGACAGCGTTTGCAGGTATACAGCCGCGCTTGTAGTTGTCGTCTAGCTGCGACATGCAGGATGCAGCCACGCGTTGTTTGAGTGATGGCCACGATGATAAGTTGTCATTTTGTATTTCACAGGGACATGAGAACCAACTTCAGCGAATGCGTTTTGTACCTTGTTTTCCCTCAGTGTACTTTTTGTTCATTGTACAAAGCTATAGCAAAATACATTAGTTACCCAACTCCAGGCCAAGTATAGCAACACTCTCACCACACTCGATTGCCACATCATTGTTGCAAACATGTTGATCTGTTTGACACAAACAATTTCTACCTTCCATTGCCTGAGTCTACCGTACAAGATAACTTACCCGTCTCGGAAAGTATATTCAAGAAATTGGGATGAATATACTTGTGGGAAACACGTACATTGACTCGGTAGCCAATGAATCTCTTGATCCACGTGGTCGGGACACCAATTACTGTCAGAGATCTTTGTGGCACTGTCGTACGGCGGCGACGAGCAGGGGCCCAGTCTGAAGGACAAGCAACGTTTGAATATGTAATCTAGGTCTGGGGGGTCTCTTTCTTTTTCTTTCTCCTCCCTCTCTTGGCTACCTAGGTACATATGCTGAGCGACGTGCACCATTTTCCGAAACGGACGAATCGTGGGTGGGACGTGACACGACGCTATCCGGTTACGCCCTCGATCACGTTTGCTGTACAGGTCCCTCGTTGCACAAAAGAAAACGCTACATGAATGTTGAGTCACCTTGGAATTTTCATGATTATTATTATTTCGGTGCCCCTCTCCCCTGCAGTTGATTTTTTTTAGTAGTTCTACTTGTGTATCTATGCACGCACCGTCTTATCCACACATGGTACTGGTGATGCTACAATGCCTTGGTCGGGAAAATCGAGACCCTCCAAAATCTGTCTGTTTTCCAGCATATCTATGCTCATATGAATTTGTACACACAAGAAACTGCGTTGGCATTCATCAACAATCGGTATTATACATGAGCAAGAACATGATGTAATCTTGTCACCGTCCGTGATTTTGTATCGGGGAAAAAAGGTTAGTCAATTGATACAATGACCTCGCACGTCTTGCATGGCGAAAGGGAGGGCGGCAAAGCCACTGACAACAGACACACACGTAAACAAACGCATGGAGGGAGGGGGAGAGAGAGAGAGACCTCTCGGCAGGACTTGCGTCTTACTAATTGTATTTTCTCACTTGAGCTGTCGTGTGGCACTTGTGTGTACAAGACCATGATCTTTGTTGGCTGCCGGCCTGAAGCAGCTTCATGTATCGGCCATGGCCAGCTCTCCGGTACATAGTCTTGCACTCAGAGTGTCGGTCAGAACAAGTTTACCTCAATGGTAAATATTAATGAGGTGGCTGTGGTCATGTTTAGTGGCATATTGCAGTTTTCTGTCGTTGCATTCAGTAGTGATACCGCCTGAAATGATATCCCCAAGTTCCAGATACAATGAAAAGCGGCGCTCCAAAGGTATCCTGCTGCCAGAAAAGCCTCGTGTGACATGCCTCACTTCCAAGTAACCTCACAACCTGCCAAAAGCAATGTAAGCAGCTGTCAGAGACCCATAGGAGAATAACACCTGTAACCGAGACATTTTTCTCGCCTCTGAGCAGCTAGCAAACAAGGACATTTCAATTCTTGGCTTGGCCCGCAAGTCATTCCAAGTCCTCTTTTCCATGGGCCCTCCCTCAACGCCCCCTTTTCCATGTTTGTCGATATTCGGTACCAAGGTAGCGATGAACAAAAGGTGGCAGTGCCAGCACGGTCAGACGATTTTTCACATGCCTTTCAACGGCCGTAAGGGAAATACTTCCCGTGTCACGAATGAAGTGGTGGGCACACAAGAAGAAAAAAGACGGAGCGGAGGAATCAAGGGGATACAGAGGGAGAAGATAAGGGGAGACGAGGAGAAAAGATTTCGGGGAGGGGAAAAAAAAGAAAAAAAAAAAAGGCCAGCTGCAGGAATACCATGTGAGTGTAACCCGGTTACCGATATGTTGGGCTCTCTGTGTTATACCTAATCAGATGGATGAACTGCTGTGATTTTCTATTCGGGGAATAATCCATTACTCTTCTGAAATATCTGATCACCATGAAGATTTTACAGGTATAGAATTTGCTTCATTATTTTAATTAATGCCGAACGTGTAAGTGGTACGAAACCCTATCGATACCATTTCTCTCCCCTATTCTCTTCCGTTCTCTCTCTCTCTCTCATGCTTGTGCAAAAGAGTACTGATATTTGTCCATGATGCGTCTGTGCGAACAAAATGAATCGAATGCCGGCAGTGTATTGTCAATTATACCCCGCGACTGTGTGGATGCTGTTGTGTGAAGTCGTGGTCGCCGTCCCAAATGGAGAGGGCTCATCGGCAACACTCCCCGTCTTACCATACTCAGGAGGTAGCTTACTTTCTATGGTATATGAGGCTTGGTATTAGGTTTTGATTGTGCCCACAGTGAGAAGTCATACTCATATTTCATAAAGTCAAATTCGATATGCAGACTCTACATCCCCAGGAACGTGCAAAAGGCAAGAGGTGTGAGTGCACGAGGCTTGCGGCTACTTGCATGCCTCGTCTATACAAGATATCTAGACACACTCATCATTGGGTCATAATTATGTGCCCTTGAGATTAATGATACTGACGCATAATGCTCTTCAAAATAACAGGGGCGTCAAACCTTGTTCTGGAAGGCTCATATCAAACGTCAATCCAATGTGTAATGCCAATCGTGGAAAATCAAGAACCATTGTGCTTCGGCACCCCAGTCGGACCCAGCAATATCTTAACGGTCCCATTTCAAATATCTTTCTCATGTAGGCCTTGTAGACACCAATCTCCTTTTTTTTTTCCCCTCAGAGGTCAACGACATGCCGAGTTCCAACTCCTCTGTGGACATTGATGTCCCTTGCCAGCGCAATGCCGTACGTCTGCCTCTTGTTGTGGCACAAGAGGGTACAAGGAACACTTCCTTCTTTTCCCCTACATTTCGCCCCCATTCTCGGCATGTAAGAGATACACACAACATACGTTACGATATAGAGGTGATGAAAGCTCCATTGCTGTTCTCGTGACTGCATACACACATACAAGAAGTGTGTTCCACCGCTTGGGTAATCCAAGCTTGTACTGTATAGGCAATTCGTCATCATTTTTCATTTATTTCTCTATCTCTCCTTGGTATCATTCTCGACCGCCTCAAATATAAACAACCACTAGCCAACAATTTTTTTTTTCTTGTTTAGCCTCAGAGACGGACCCGGTTCGGCTTGAGATCGACCTTTCAATAGCACGTTGCCCTAGGGTCTTTTTGGGGAGATCCCGTCACACCTGTTTCTTTTTTGGCCTTGTTTGATTGATCGATAGCCGAGGGTTGACAGGTCTGTTTTTGCCGACGCGCTTTTCTCCTTTGCGGTGATCGATCGTGGCGTTTTCGACCGAATAACGGACAAAACCCAAGAAAATTAGTAAAGAAAATGCATCATACACACCGTTTGTTCCAGGCATAGCTGCTGCTAAAAAAGAATTCTGGTTTCTCTTTTTTTTTTTACTTTTTTTCAGCTTCAATCTGCCGGTGAGACTTGTCCTCATTAGTAATTTTTTCTTTAGGGGCCAGGTTACACCAGTAGACAGGGTATTCTTCATAATTTGCTCAGGCCACTCATACATACAATATTGAGCATGTCAAGAGATCAAAGTCCTGCCTCTCCTTACAGGACTTCCTCTGCTATTGCATCCCTGGTTCATAAGAAACATGCAAGGAACAATAGTACTGCTACTCCAGATCTCTCAATTGTTGTTTGCTTGCCATCATGCTGGATCATGAACCCATTTTGACCGCATGCGTACATTTGCCATTTCCACCCCCAAAGTACATTACCTCGAGTCCACAGCGGGCGGCAACGCATGGACAAAAGAAGTCCAAAGTACACATCAAAGCTTCTGCCAACAGTCGGTAGGTGAGCAGGTGAGCTTAAAATTTTAGTCTCAGACTGACCAGACTTGGGACCCTCTCTTTTTTCCCACCGCTCCGGGCGGTACGGTACTCGCTCGAGTGCTGGCTCGGTAGTACGGGCACTTGAGTTGCTGGATGGAGCCTCTTCTCTTGTCTCGGTGCTTGGGAATCAATCGATACTGGAGGACGCTAATGATTACCGGGGGGGAATTATGGATCTGGGTACTTAACTTTCTCCGTCTTTTTTTTTCCCCTTCCCAAGTTTGACCGCCAGCGGATCTCAAGCGAAATATGGGACAGGGTTTTCCGTATTAACCAGAGAAAGGCAAAGACAAGCAAAGACCCAAAGCAGGGAATAAAAGAGGGTATCGTCATCAGGGAAAATTCCAAACCAAAAAAAACACGTGGGACCGAGATATTTTCCGGTCGGGCGGGATATTACACTTTTCGCTATTATACGACGATCGTCTATTACCATTCCCCAAACAGGGTTCGCACGTGGACAATCTTTCTCCAAGCGTTCGCGCGCCCATTGCCAGTGTATCTCAACAGCTTACCGGGGCCCTAGCAGGCGGGGCCAATGAGGGCGGATGTAAGAAGAGCACAATGTGCTTTGCGGCATGGGGTCAGAGCCTTGATATTAATTTTTTTTCCCCCTTTCACATTTGCTTCTTCTTGCAGAAAATGAGATGGGCAAGCTTGCAGAAGAGAAGGAGACGGAGTGTTGCACCGATAAGGGTAAAGATGACGCAGGGCTGGGCCAGCTTTCGGTGTTGAGGTTAGCCGACCGTATGCTGTGTATACATACACAGTACGTGGTAGGCGAGAATTTCGGGTCTACGGCCAAGCTGGCGGTAGGAGTAGAGACTAGGTCAGGCTGTCCTGAGGATTAGATAGTAACCAAGGTGCATGGTTTTGTCAGCGTGTATCCCTTTAGAAATATATGAAAGAGTAAATGAGATAAAATAATAGACGAGATGACGCCTAGCGCGGCTGGTTCAACTCATCTGGTGTAGATAGGCACCCTGGACAAAATAAAGGTCA